CTGGAAGAGAGTGATGGGTGTGGAGGCAGTAATGGAAACTAGCTCTAAGACGAAGGGATTCATTTCTGGAGAGAGAGAAGTGGGATTGGGGAAGGAAATGTGTGGATAGTTAGGGTTGCTGGTAAATTTTTAGGTGGGGGAGTATTGGAAACTTCTTCTGGCTTCTCATCTGAAGGACTCAATTTGAATTAAGAAATAAGGAGAGAAGGCTCCTTTGGAGAGTATAGGATAAGCTCTTGCAGAAGGAGAGTGATTTAAGAGCTCTTACAAAGGAGAGAAAATTTGCATGGAACCTGTTAAAAAGATTGAAGACCCAGATGGGTGGGGAGTATGACAATATTCTGTTGTTCCTCTAGTAGCAACGCACATTTTCTTACAAATTTGTAAGGCTGATTGCTCTCCTGCCCTTCCATAGTACTTTGTTCATACAGGAAGGGTAGCACTTACAATCTTGGGTTTTAAAAAGTACGTAACATACCCCCAATAAGCTCCGAAAAGATAATTCATACTTTTTTTTTTTTTCATCATTGTATCTCCACATCCTATCACAATGTTTAGGTCAGGTAGTTCTCAATAAAAGTTTGTTGCACTTTTTAAATTTCTGAGCTGGACTTGTGTGCTATGACTATGGCATTGAACCTTCTTTGCAACTACATAGTGGCTTTTTTCAGGGATGTGATATGAGATGGTTTAGGTTGGTGACCTGTGTTCACATGTTGTAAGGACCAATATTTTTGGCATGCAATATAAAATAGTTGCATGCCAAATGCAACTATTCCTTTTTCATTTGTAGTTTATTGATAACCCTGGTATCACTGATGGTTACATTTATCTATTCCTGTCTGATTTAGACTGCTATAGGCATGTCTTGATTATTCAGGATTTCCTTATTCATGTTAATTATCTATGTTCTATTATTCTCTATATTTCGAATCTTTTCTTCACTTTGCTGTTTCATCAGAAGTCAGGCAAGAGAGAGAAAAATCAGATAATTTTACTACTTAGTGGTTATTTAATAAATGTTTATAGAAGATGAAGTTATAGTTAACAGTTGGTGGACTTTTACATTTTTGGATGACCCTTATTTATTAATTATTAGTGCAAGGGTTATTCAAGTTACGGTTTATCCAAATCAAGTTTACTTTGAATTTTATTGACAGAATTTATACTATTTAAATTGCTTCAGCTGTAAGATTTTTGATTGCAACAAATAATGCAGTGCAATTAGTGCTTCCTATATTCTTTAGAAAATTCATTCTCTAAGCATAAGTTATGAAATTGTGGGATGTTTGCTGACCACTTACTTACCTAGAGCCTTCTAAAAAAGTTCACTAGGATAACTGAGCTCTTCACTTGTATCTCTTTTATTAAAGGATGATTTTTAGAAAGTAAAATCTTGACTCAAATTTAAAATAAGCACGTGTCAAAGATTTTATTTCACACATTAATAAGCAAACTAGAAAGATGATAAGACCAGCTTGGTTTTTAAAGAAAATTGGAAGAACAGACATGTTTATAGGCAATCAAGAATGCTGAAATGAATTTGTGAATCTATGCAAATTGGTCAATATCCTCAGGGCAATAAAATGTAATTTTTTGAAATCCTCTCTTTCACAAGGTGGAAATCAATTGCAGAACAAAGTTTTTTTGTATCTCTATGGACATGAATCATTTGCATTACCATCAGTTTTGTACAACTTACAAAATTATAAAATAGCTCAGTCAAACACAGCAAAAGGCACAGGCGCCTATAGAATCAGATAGTCCCAAAGGTCTGTCAGACAGTGCTCAACACTCCACTGAAAGAATACCCAGTAATCCTTTTGTCTGTTTCAAAATCGTTCACCATATTTTCTGACACAGTCCTTCCTAACTCCAACATCACAGCCAGTTCCTTCTCTCCGTGTTTTACACTGTAGTCTCCCCCTCAATGCTTCTTTCTCAGGGGAAGTAATTCAGAACCCCAAGGTTTTGAAGAATGCAATTGGATTGCTTCTCGGCCTTTCGACTAAGATCAAGTGAAGAATGCAATTGGAAGTCCAGGTTTTGCCTGGGGCTTCCTAATATTTGGATGACTGGAGATGTAGAGACCTGGAAAGAAGTGAGCTATGGATTGCCCACAAGCTTGGTTCAGACTGCAAATTCCCAGAAATATAACAATTTGAACCTGCCAGTCAGAGAAGGTCTAGATCATTACTTTAAAATGCTGTGCTGCCTAGTTTTATAGTATCACTCTGCAAATTTATAGCACAGTATTGTTTAAAGGGCACCTGCCCATGTATTTTCTCCTTGATGCTTACCATAATTCTGTGAAGTAGCCCAGTGTTCATTTTTGATTCTCTTACTTACAGAGAGTAAACCAAGGCATAGAAAAGTTAAGTGAATTGCTTGAGGTTACACATACTAAAAAGTGACAGATTGGATTTGTACTCAGGCTTCCTGAACATTTTCCAGTTCGTATTCTGCTGTGAATCCTAGTATTCAATTCAGTGGGCATTTACTGAATAATATGTTCCTAGAATAGTAACATCCTATGCCCCTGAGTTTTATTCCCAGTTTATATAGAAGGAAGAAATCTTATTAAAGTTGGTATTTATATTTGTTAGTGCTTTGTTTTTTAAGGGAAAAGACAACTAGCTATTTAAAAGAGTTGATAAATGGCTGAAAAACATGGAAGATAATTACAATTTTTCCATGTTCTTACAAATTTTAGATGAAAGACTAGTGATTGCATTTACTTTCTCAATCCCTGTTTTATAAAACAACAACTGATAGTTTATCCTATTGAGAAGAGTTGATAGGATATATTCTACTTATTAGCAATATCTGCTCTTGGTTTCAACTTGTTTCTAGTTTTATTTTGAGTGGTTTATAGTTTCTAAGAGGAAGGAATACCTGTATTATACATTTGGAAATTGCTGTTCTGTCCTTTCAATGAAATGTAGGGGTGAAAAAATGCCTTTCAGTTGTATATAATCCTTTTTAATACTTGCATACAAAATGTCTATTGTTGTCTGTATTTTGCAATGGGGAAGTAACCATAGAGTATGTTTTTTGCCCTTAGCATTCTAAGACTTTCCATCCTAGTGGAAAAGCTGTGATTCATCTGATTTACTTTTTATATTAAAGTACAGTAGACCTTGCCATGTTTTTTGGAAATGCCACACAAAGAGAGAAACTTCATATCAGTTTAGCAAGTTCTATTTGGAGGAAGTGTATAGGAGTTGAGACTGAATATAATATTTGGTTTGATTTTTCTGCTAAAAAATTTCCCATAGTAAGGACAATTTTTTAAATACATGTATCAGTAGGCAGTAATGATTACTTTAAAGCTTCCAAAGCCAGATACTGTACTGCATGTTCCAACACAAGTTGCTGAGTTTATTCCCAAGACACATGATAATGTGTAGTTTGTATTACTATGAATGAGTAAGGAAAAGTTACAGTATTGTCTACCAGCAATGCACATTAATATTAAAATAATTTTTCTTTTTCAGCTTGCCCATCTTCTCTCTGTAGCTTCACTGTAGCTTAAGTGAACAATTGAAGCATTGCTCTTTTCTCTATAGGATTTATAACATACCTAAGATCTTATAGTATTTTATTATAATTCTGTAATAAAAAGAAACTATTTTATTTTTCTTTTCCAGGTTCAGCTCAGCTAATTTTAAATAAAACCAAACCTGTAGAATACACCATTTGCAATAAAACTGTTGTCATCCCATGCTTTGTTTCTAATGTGGAGGCGACTGTCCTTGACGACTTTTATTTAAAGTGGAAATTTGGAAATGAAAACGTTTTTACCTTTGATGGAGAGCAACGTAGTTCCACCCCTGGCAAAAACTTTTCGAGTGCAACAATCGTACCAGAAGCATTACTAAACGGCACTGCATCTTTGAAGATGGATAGGAGTGATGCTGTCCCAGGAAACTACAGTTGTGAAGTAACAGAATTAAGCAGGGAAGGCGAAATCATCGTAGAACTAAAACATCGTGTTGGTAAGACTTCTGTAAAAGCTTCCTTTTATTTGTCCTGCAGCAACCTGATCCTATCAGAAATGGGGCATAATGGGGCTAGGAACTCTATTGAATCAAAAAGCAGACTGTTAATAATAAATGTTGATATAATGTTTAGCAGCTTTGAGAGCATGAATTTTGTCTTATTTGCTCTCCACTTTTCATAGTAAAATTCCTTTGCTGTTTGTTATGTGTGTGGTTCTCAGACTTTGGGTTTGAGGACTGTTCTATTGGAGTGAGCAGTCCTGGGATCATCTACCATTTCTGGTCATCAAACCATTTCTGTTTGCTGCCATCGAGAGTACTTTTTCTTTCATGTGATTAATTTTCCACATTCTTTCCAAATATTTAGCCTTTTTTTTTTTTTTTTTTTTTTAAATTACCTACACTATCAAGGGTTGACAAGTCCCAACCATGCTCCCGATAGAAAGAATAGACCAGAAGGAGAATCAAGAGATCAAAAATCAGGTCATCATGGATGATTCCTTGAAGTTTCCTGTGCTTATGGTGTTCTTTTCCTTGGCCAAGATGTGGAAGAGCTAGGGATCCAATGTGATTGATTTGAATTCGGCCTTAGTGATTGATTCTGCTCCATTTTCACAAACTTGGGTTGGTGAGTTGTATAAAGCAGTAAAGTTAGCTGGAGTAAACGGTCTGCTTTCTTTTCCTTGCTGTACCAGCTGATTTCTTCAACGACATGCAGGTACATTCTGATTTTCTATTTTGGAAGCTCTCTTAGTGTCACTGGACATATTACTGATCTCGGGATTAGGTCATCCTTTGAGAACCTCTTTTTTAGATGGAATCTTCTAGCATTTGCTGTTATAAAATGTCCATTATCAGATTGGGAATGGGGTATTTAGTTTGATGGACTATTTTGACATTGTTTAGGATTAGGAATCAGGGGACCTGAGTTATATCCCTTATTCTGCAAGTTAACTGTTTGCCTATATTGAGCTTGAAAAGTTACTTCACTGAATCCAAGTTACCTCATCTCTAAAGTGGGAATGAAAATAGATTTGTGCTTTTATATATTCTGTAGTCTAATGAACATCAGATGAGATTCTTTTTGTACAAGTCCTTTGTAAACCAAAGTGATTTGCAAATGTTAGTTGTGTTCCTGTGGTGTTTTATGAAGTGAGATATCAAGTTGCTGAAGCTGGGTTTTGAGAGAGGGATGTTTGTGCAATAAGAAGTGGGCAGGAGACGACTAAAGCAGTCAAACAATTTGGAAGGCTTCTCTGTTCAGAAACCTCTCCTACATTGTAACTTGTATTAATTTGATATTAAATTGGGCTAAGGAGCTTTTATATATATATAATCTTTCAGCAGGGGTCTAGTCAGTCATATGAACTGTGAGTGACTAGAATTAGATAATCTAATACCTAGTTGAAATTTTTCTGAGGGATGGACTGTACCATTTCATGGGAATGAGAAAACAAGACACAGGGGAGTGGTAATTTCTGAGTGTAGTATAGGTCACTGAGAGGGAAATTAGTAAATTCAAGAGACCTGAGAAGCCAGAAGATGGAACAAAGATGGATGGGAAAGGGATACTGATATCTGAGATGAAGACAGAGTTTATAGTTTTATGTGTGAACGTTTTATCTTTCTTTGTTTTCAAAGTACCCTATAAAAAATATGAGCTATGCTTATTTTGGGGGCCATTAAAATTAGGTGTTTTGTTGGAGAGAACGTGGAAAATTCTACCAGAGGTCTCAGACATTCAACTTTGCACTCATTTTTATTTTTTGAAATAATTATAGAGTCATAAGAGGTTGCAAAGATAGAACAGAGAGGTGCTGTGTACTCTTCGCCCAGCTTCCCCAAATGGTTACATCTTATGTAACTGTAATTAAATGTCAAAACCAGCAAATTCACAGTGGTACAATGTGTGTATATTTCTTTGTCATTTTATCACAGGTATAAATTTATGTAACTACCACCACAATCAGGATACAGAACTATTCCGTTAACGTATATATGTCCCTTATGCAACCCTTTTCTAGTCACTGCACCCCTACTATTCTTAACCTGGAAGCACAATTTGTTCTCTATATCTATACTTTTTTCATTTCATCAATGTTGTATAAATGGAATCATACAGTATGTAACCTTTTGAGATTGGCTTTTTTTCACTCAGCATAGTGCCCTTGAGATCTATCCATGTTGTGGCATGTATCGATAGATTTTCTTTTTTTTTTTCTGAGTATTATTCCATGGTATGTGTATATCATCATGGTTTGTTTAACCGCCTACGTCTACCTACTGTTGGGCATTTTGGTTATTGCCATTTGTTTTTGGCCGTAACAAATGAAGCAACTATGAACAATTGTGAATAGGTTTTTATGTAGATATAGTCTTCATTTCTCTTGAAATGCACAGAAATATAATTACTGGACTGTTTGTAAGTATAGGCTTAGTTTTTAAAGAAACTGCCAAATGTTTTCCAGAGTGATTCCATTTTTCATTTCCATCAGCAACATATGAGTGATCTAGTTCCCCCACATCCTTGCCAGCATGTGGTGTTGTCACTATTTTTGCACCATTTTTGCAACAAACTCCTCTGCACAGAAAGGTTAATTGAGGCAGGACTCTTACAAATTTATTGTGGTAATGATACTTACCCATCATGTGGACTTTGGAGATTTAGGTATTAGAAACCATTTTTACTATGTTGTGCTGTTTTGCAAATACAGGCATAAATGAGAGCTAGAAATTGCTTAATAGAGAATTCCACTTAGTAGAATGTGGAGTAATGGAGACCATTCTTTGTTCCCTTTTAGGGAGTACTAGGACTGAATATGTGGAAATATTATATATGAGATATAGTTTTATATACCTCTGGTGCCTTTGTACAATACAGTACCCTGGAAGGGGCACAAGACTTGAATTTAGAGAGTTTTTTCTGTGCATCGCCACTTTTTAGTTTAGGAAAACTTAGATAAAAAATTCAACCTTTCTGGCCCTCAGTTTTATCTATAAAATGAAGATACCATCTCCATCGCAGGAGAGTTTTGAGACGTAAGTAAGCTAATACTTTAAAAAAGGTTTATTGAGTGCCTACTATGTACCAGGCACTGTGCTAGGCATTTTGGATTCAATGGTGGCTAAGACATGATCCTTGCTTTCAAGAAAGTGAACAGTACAAATAAGGACAATAAAAAAAAAAAAAATCTGACATTTATTTGAGCATTTGCCAGATACTATATGTATGTTGCATCCTGTGATATTCTCAGGAACTCCTGGAGATAAATATATGTCTTACCATTTACAAGAAGACAGATTTAGGTTACTTGTTCAAAGTGAGAGTCATAGCCAGGATTTTAACCCAGATCTGTCTTCAAAATCCAGTATTATTATTATTTTTTTTTACTGCCATAGGATATTGTGAAAACACCGTGTAAACAACCAAATACTATGTAAATATGATTATAAAATGTGTTATTAGTATCTGCCTTTATATTATTAATGAAAAAAAAACTTGGAATCTTAAGATTTTACATTTTTCAAGTAAGCTATCAGTTTTGTTTAAAAGATCAAGTTCAGATTCAGCAAGTTGCTGTTTCCATCTTTGACAACATGATATGCATTATGTTCATTATGTTGACATGAAGGCACTACAGGATCCTCGTATTAGTTTTCTGGTGCTGTATAACAAATAACCACAAATGTAGCAGCCTTAAAAAATACAGTTTTTTTTATTACCTCACAGTTTTGTAGGTCACAATTGTGGTCATGGAATGACTGGGTTCTCCAAAGTCTTATGAGGCTGAAATCAAGGTGTTGGCCAGGCTGTATTCTCATATGGAGTTTGGGGTCCTGTTTCTTGTGGTTATAGGACTGAGGTCCCTGTTTCTTTGCTAGATGTCTGCTAGGGACTTTTCTCAGATCTCGGAGGTTGCCCTCATTCCTTACCACATAGCCTCTTCATATTTAAAGTCAGCAATGAAAATCTTCCTTTTGTTGAAGTCCTCTCATATGTTGAATTTCTTTTGCCAGGAAGGGCCCAGACCCTTTTAAGGGCTTACTGAATTAGATTAGCCCCCTCTTTCCCAAAGACAATCTCTTTTTCTTAAAGTCAACTGAATGAGCACCTTAATTACACCAGCAAAATCCCTTTTGCCATATGACACAGCATAATCATGGGAATGAAATCCATCCTATTCACAATCTCATCTCTCCTTCAAGGGGAAGAAATTATAAAAGGCTGATTGCAGGGTGCAGGGATTTGGGGAGCTACCTTGGAATACTGGGTTTGATTAAATAACTGAGACTACAGCCTAACCAAGTCAGTACCTCAAAAAAGTCATCACAATCCTGAAATGTAAAAATTTAGCTTGCATTTTAGTGTTGTGAATTTTACCGTGATCTTTTTTTGTGGAAACAGGTGTTCTCTGTGTTTGCGAAGGTTTACCATGTACAAGCATACCTCAGAGATATTGTGGGTTAGGTTATAGACCATCACAATAAAGCCAGTTTTGCGAGTGGAGGGTTTTGCCTTCAATTTGTTAAAAAAAAAAAAACAAAAAAAACAACAACATCTGTGAAGCATAATAAGCGAGGTGCAATAAAACAAGGTATGCCCGTATATATTTGAAGGAAAGGTACATTAGAATGATCTCTCTAATTTTTGTGTTTATTCCGTTTCGTACACAGTGATAAGAAGAATGAAGTACGGGCTTTTTATGATACTTAGGCTAGGGAGCAAAATTTAAATAGTCATCCATAGACCATATATTCTTCCAGGGAGCCACTCTGCCTGACTAGGAATTGGGGGAGAATAATGGACAGAGATGTCAGCCATAGCTTGAATGAAATGAGAGTGTGGATGCCCTTGGATTGTTTTTCTTAATCACAAGGTGGAAAAATATCTGATGTTGTTCTTCGTCCATTTTAAGCTTAATTTATTTTTTTAGTGCCACAGAAATTTAGAGCTGAAAGGGACCTTAGAGAAGTACCTTGTCTCCTCCCCTTGGGGAACAAAAATTGAAGTCATCTGACAGTACTACCATAACAAATCAATAGCTTAATTGGCATATAAATTGTTTTGTATGAAACATTGGGTACCTCATTTGGTACATGAATATCCAATTCAATGATCCTCAAACTCTTACCACCTTAACAAATTAGAGGTAACTCATGTCAGTGAGAGGACGTAACACAGTCATGTAAATTATAGCAGAGGTCTGCAGCAATGATTTTAAACAGAGAATCATGGACACCCCCCCCAACACACACACACACACACACACACACACACACACACACACACACACTTACCTTGGGGAACATATTAAAATCTTGGGGTGGGAGCTGACAGGGGAGAGGGTGTGAAATTTGAATAAACCCCCAGGTGATTCTAATAAGCTCCATTTAAGAATCACTTAGACAATAATATGTTTGTTCTATAACCCCACCCTTTTCTGTCATTGAACTGTCTCTTACACTTATTATTTCTGCACAGGGGCTTGGAGTCATCTAGTCTGTCTTGCCATCTAATTCAGGAATTACTTCTGTCACACCCCAGGTAAATTGGTCATTCAGAGTTTTTACGTAAATGCTCGACATGATGAGACTCTTTCTTCCTAAAGTATCTAGGTTATTGTCAGAAAGTTCCAGTTCTTTTGTAAGTCAAGCTAAAACTTGCAGCACTGCAATTTCTTACTCACTAAGAGGGCTATAAAAGTTCTCTCCCAAGTTTTTTCTTATCTGAAGTAAGAATCCCCAGTTCTTTCAGCCATCCCACATGGTTTCAGGATCCCCGTTCTGGTCACCTTCTTTGGATCCATTCCATTATGTCTTCCACTGTGATGAGTAAAACTGGACTAAGAACTGCATTTGTGGGCCATGTCCTATGCCCTGCCTCTCTACGCGATTGCTGCACAAACTTTCTGATAAGTCTTGCTTCTCTAGAATTCATTCTACGCATGGCTGCCAAAGAAGATTTTAAATAAATCAGATCATTTTTCTTCTCTATTTGAGGCCTTCTAATCACTTGTCATTGCTCTTAGAATAAAATACAAACTCTCTTAACAAACTGTTGAGACCTAACATAATCTCGCCCCAGCAAACTCTTCCCATCTCCTCTTGTATCACTAAATTCTAACCACAGCAACCATCATTTGGTTGCTCAAAGTTGCTGTTCCTTTGGAGTCTCTTCCCTGTCTTCACTTGGCAGGCTCCTTCCCATACAAGGCTCAGATCCAGTTCCTTTCCCCAGAGGCCTTTCATTACTACCCTCAAGAGTCTGTCCTTCATCTCCTCTCCTTCTTCAGGCTCATGGCCCCACCTGCCTTGTTCACTGCTGGACCTCAGATACCTTAGAAGAGTATCCTACCCATGGTAGGCTTTCAGTAAATGTTTGTTTAATAAGTACAAAATGAGTGGTCAGACCAGGGTCAAACATACCTCTTATTTTTACTAATAGATTTCTGTTAATAAATCCTAAGATTGTTGAAGATTGTTGTATAGGGACACAGGCTAATGAAAGAACATTTCATTGTCAGCTCATCTTGAACATGAGATCAGATGTTGGCTATATTTTGAAAGTAGAGCTCACAGGATTGACTGTTGGACCAGATGTAAGGTGTGAGAGAAACCAAGGAATCAAGGATGACTCCAAGGTTTTTTGGCCTGAGCAACTGAAGAAATGGCGTCACCAGTACTGAAATGGCAAAAACTAAGAGGGAAGGTTTTGGTCAGGGAGGGGATCAGGAGTCAGTTCGGGACTTGAAAATTTAAGATACTTAAGATCCTTAATTTACTGTGTCATAATATCCTTAGCATTGAGGGGTTAATAATTCCTCATATCATAATTGTGAGGATTTGAGAAGTTAATATAACCAACTCAAAACAAAATAATAGAGACAGTGGGTAGAGAAAAGTAAGTTGATTAGTAATAGTCATTATATCATAAAGCTTTTACTAAATCCTGTGGGCATTGTATTTGAAAACCTAAACATAATTCACAGAGGTTTTTCCTGGTAGGATTTTAATTGAAAGGGGTTTTTTTGGAAGATGTTCAGTAATTCAGTTGGAAATTAAGGTGGTATTGATTCAGAATATCTGAAAACATCTCTCCTGGTGGAGATCTGCAGCAACTGGAACATCAAAAAAAAAAAAAGTGTCTTCCATTCACTCGCCAAACTGTATTATGATTGCACCCTTCAACAGTAAACCTATTGAGTCTACTATGTATAGGGCAACTGCTAGATACTGGAAAGCTAATGTCTCTGAGATAAAAATTTATAGTGTTATATTCTGGGGATTATTGTGAACATTTACCAGAGTTTAACATTATAAGCTTAGCACGAGAAATGCATGGCTAGCATTATGGTAGGAAAATCTGCAAGGTTCCTCACGTACTGATAAAGAGAGGCAGAGCAGTGGAGGATTTCAAAGAGGTGATTTCAGAGGAATGCTAGTACGCTGGCTTTTGGGCAGTATTCACTGGTATTCTCCACACAACCCCGCCTCCCTTTCCCCTGCAGGCAAGCTTTAAAATATTAAGTGTTCTTAACATTTCATTTGAAGTCTCACTATCACAATTTTCTTTATAGAATGGGTGGCTATACTTTTACTGTCTAGGTATCATGTGACCCACTTAATAGAAGCTTCCTTAATACCTAAAGCTCCTCATGTTACTTTATATGTAAACAGCCATTTTTCAGCCTATTCAGTTATTCCAAAATACATCTTCTGTTCCAGAGTTAGTTTCAGAAAAGCTAGGGCTCACATCTCCCTTTGTCTTAAGTCACAGTAAGGGGAGGATATCTAGTTGTACAACTTCCTTACTTCCATCCAGAGTCAGTCTGTACAGGAAGACTTCACTGTCGCATTAAGGTAAATTCTTGGCACTTTACACATAGAGCCATTCACCATGGGAGCACAAAATAATAATTGTACTTAATGTTTACTTAGCACTTGGTAAGTGCCAAGCTTTGTTTTAAGCCCTTTTCATATCTTAACTTTGTTAATAGTCATAACAGTCCTTCAAGGCGTAGGTGCTGTGTGCTGTACTAGAGTCACAGCTGAAGAACGGAAAGGGGTTAAAACTGTCCACGGTCACAGAGACTATAAATTAGAATTGCGGGTCAAACCCAGGCATTGTGGCTGGAGAGCTTTGTTCTCAGCTTCTGTGGCATACTATTTCTTTCCATAAATCATAGATTAGGGAAAGTGTGACGAAAAACAAATAACTAGTTTCTTGATTCATAAGGAAAATTTGTTATGTAAATAAATTATTATGTGTAATTGTTTATTTAAAGGCCACAGTTTTAATCAATTATTTTTATTTTCCATCTTCCCAATAAAATATATTGTTGACTTATTATAGTAAATATTAATTGTGATTTTTGCTTTTTCTCTTTCCAGTCTTATGGTTTTCTCCAAATGAAAATATCCTCATTATTATTTTCCCAATGTTGGCTATACTTCTGTTCTGGGGACAGTTTGGTGTTGTGAGTAAGTATTTATTTTTATTTTTGCATATGTTTTTAGTGATGAAATGGTTATTTCTGGGAGGCAATATCAGTGCAATATTTAAGTCACATTAGGAAGTATGATAACATAAATAAGAATATACAGTCTTAATATTCTCTTTGAAGTGCATATTACCCTCATAATTTGCTGTAGTTCTTAACAAGGTTTGTTTCTTAAAAGAATCAGTAGCGGGAATCCTAATAATAACATATCTAAAACTCATACTGATTTTAACATTTACAGGGCATTTACTCACATTATTTTCTTTGGTGATGGGAAGGTCACAGCCTACATTGCAGTGTTAAGAGAGGATGTTGCACTTCTGAGCATTAAGATTTCCCTCTCTTGTTTTCCCAGTTCGAACTTCTCTGCACACATGTGTTCATCCTAGAAAAGGCCTAGTTTGAACCATGTTTGTCATTTTTACTGTGCAATTCTGCAGCCCTTAAGGAAGTAGCCACAGGAAAGTTGTGTTCTTTGACCATGTTTTGCTATAATAATCATGTGACAAAACTTTTCAGGGCAGATCTTAAAGCTTCATCAGATTTAGCATCAACAGTGTAGAATTGTCACTCCTAAATGAGAAGGAAATATTCATTCTGGTTGATAATACTACTCAACCTTCCTTAAACAACACAGCGTTAAACCGTGTGGGGCCACTTATATGTGGATTTTTTTCAATAAGTACTATAAATGTATTTTCTCTTGTGATTTTCTTAATAACATATTCTATTCTCTAGTTTACTTTATTATAAGAATACTGTGTATAATACATATAATATACAAAATATGTGTTCATCAACTGTTAATTGGTGAAGATCCTGGTCAATAGTAGCTGTTAGTAGCTAAGTTTTCAGGGAGTCTAAAGTTGTATGCTGACATCGACTGCTTAGGGTGGGAGCGTCAGCTCCTCTAACCCTATTGATGCGTTGTTCAAGGGTCAACTGTATTTCCATACCAGTTTGGTAAAGGAAATTTACTAAATTAGTGAAGTTTTGAGGTGACAGTCTAAACTTTTACATGTTTAAAATATAAGATTTATTTCTGTCTCCCAGTAGTGCACTGAAATAGTCATTGAAGGCCAGTTAACATTTATGCAAGGCAAGGGGTAAATAATGCTGGTTTCATTTATTTATTTTATTCCACAACCTTTAAAAAAAGAAGTGAAAGCTAGTAAAATACTGTAGTGGATAGGCCTATTATAGATTTCATGAATTTTACTTTTACTCAATTTAAGGCATGTATATCTAAAGTGATATGTAAAAATGAAAAGAGAGATGACTGGTCATATATTTTAAGAGCTCTTCTAAATGTATGGCACTCTGGAAATGCTTTGTAATTTAAAAGCTCTTCTCAACTTTTGTCTAAAAGGCAAAAAGGGGGAAAGAAAGGGCTAATGTGACAACTGTCAAGACATTTCACAACTCTCACTTTCAAAACCGATCTAGAATTCTTCTGTAAATTTTCTTAGAATCTCAAGAGACTTTTCACTTTAAGCAGAAGACTGGTATAGCATCAAGACTTCACCAGTCTTCACTGATGTTAGGGAAGGCCTTTAACCCTGTTGGCAGACTCAGGCCTTAAGGCCTATGCTATAGAATTTAGGAAATTGGCTTTTTTAAAAAAATTATTTCACAGAGTGATTTGTTGCATTTGGATTAATCGAAGGTTGCTGATCATGGCATTTTCATTAGTAGCATTATTTTTAGTGGACTGAACCAGGAGTGAGTCTGTTCCTGCCAGCTGTATTTTTACAAAATAAGCTTTACAATTTTTTTCTGACTTAAAAAAGTAATACATAGCACTTTAGAATACCTTACATAATATAGGAAGTTACAAAGAAAAAAACAAGAATCATCTAAAGTCCCACAACCTGGAAATAAACCATTAGTGTAGTCTAGTGAATTTCCTGCTTCCCTTTCTGTCTTATTACTATGTATTTTTCTTATCTTTCTTTAAAAAAAGCAAAACTATAAATGGACTCATGGCTTTTATACATCCTGATTCCCACCTCCACCCCACATTTCTTCTTTTAGGTATGCACTATAATTTACTTAACTCTCATTTTGATGGATATTAAAGATTTTTCCAATTTTTTTTTTTTTAATATTATGAAAGTAACTCTACTGAAGATATGTAGCGTGGAAATGGTAGAGATATTTTAAGCCTGTTGAAACATACTGTCAAATGTTTTTAGAAACATTATATCAATTAATATTGCAGATAAGAATACTTGTCTTTCACCTCACAAGCCTAACATCATTATAATTCTAAAATCTTTGCTAATTTGATAGATGAAAAAACATCGTTTTAATTTTTTCGTGTGTGTTAGTGAGGTGAATGTTCTTTTTTATATTATTCTACTGGTCATATTTTAAGAAACATGCTTATGAACCTAAAAAATATTTTGGTGGCAATTTTTTATTTAGGCTCATCTTAGAACAAGTGTGTGTGTGTGTGTGTGTGTGTACAGAAGGTACCTATATACATGATTCACCCAGCCTCAACTCACATTTAAATGTGTTTATAAAATAGTACCTAAACATTTGTAGAACATTTGCTCTATATGATAGGCATTGTGCAAAGTACTCTCCATCTGAAATCACATTTACTTTTCCCAGGAACTTTATGGAGGTAGGTAGTATTGTTACCATTCCTGTTTTATAGATAAGAAACAGAGGCATGGATAGGTTAGGCAGTTTGTCCACAATCACCCAGGTGTTTTTTGGTACTACTGGAATTTGAACCAGTGTTATTTACCACAACCACTATACTTCCTCCCTGTCTTGAACTTACTTTGAGTTTTTTTTCCATGAAGAGTAAACCTATACCTGCATGCACTGACTGAGTAAATCAGACTGTTATTGATAGAGGAGAATGTGGACCTGCTTTGTTTATTCAACTAATGTCTGTCAATGAGATGCCTACCGATTGCTAAGCACAGGGCTGTGTGCACAAGATGTGGAAGTAAAATGCATATTGCCCCTGGCTTTGTAGCACTCACATTTCTGTTGAGGAGACAAATAAGTGTGCCTCTTCTGTTCCTTTTGTCACATCTTTGGGATAGACCAGGATCTAAATCTCCTTTTCTTTTGGTACTCTTTGTAAGAGGCCTCCTGTTTATGTCCTGCAGATTCAACCAACAGGAGAGTCCTATTTTCCATTCACTGTTTGGTTACACACTTTTTGGAGTGTGGTATCTTATAGCTCCTAAAATATTGCTAGTAACTCAGACCCATGATGTTCACTTTGTAGATTTCTAGTTCTCTTCAAGTTCTGATTACTGTTTATAGACTATATTTGACCACAGGGGGTTTCTGTCCGTGGTTTTTCTAGCTCTGCCTGTCAGTCTTTTAGTAGTCTAAGATAAAAACTGGGTCTTCTGTAGGCTAAATGTTCAGTAAAGACAGCAGGTTATGTCTTCCCTTTGAGGAGAAAGACTTTCTTTATACCTAAAAGGTATCTTGAATTGATCTCAGGATGCCATTGATCCTCCTGAGGAAGAAACCTGAGAAGACTTCTGAACTGAAGCCAAGCCAAGGGCTTTCAGATATGGTGAGTCTTAGACCCACCTTTTGAATTCAAAGGTCTCTTATAGGGAAATGTTCCCAAATACCTTTGCTTTTAGCTTTAACTTACAAACTTTTAAGCAAACAAATTTTTAAATCCTATGCTTAGCAAACATCTCAGATTATTAGAATCAAACACTGAGTCTTAACTGAAGTAACAAATCTCTAATAGTATTGCATTTCAGGCACTTTATTTTTATTCTCATTCACAGTTTCCTATTCCACTTAAATTCCTGGCTGATTTTCAGAGTTCTTCTCACTCTTGGACAATATAACAGATACTTTCTTTCATTTAGACATTTGATAATGATTTCAAGTGCTGCCTACCAAGACCTCTTTTTCTCATAAAATTAAGGTTCAGCTCTACATCAAGAACTGGCTAATATTTTGAAATTTTTTGAGATAGATGTATCTTAGCTTACTTTTCTCTCCTTGGAACTTTTGTCATACACAAGGAGTCTTCACTTTACACAGACCTGGATCCGCTTCCAGCATTTTATCTTTTCTTTTTCAGTGTCATGAACTACCTCTGAGAGTTCCTTTCCCGTAAAGGTTTTTGCCAGAGTTACTTCTTCTGGGACATCTTTATTCTTTGTGTCACCACCTCCTCACTGAACTACTTTATGTCAATAAGTTAAGTTTTACGAAGTTTCTCTAGCTGCATATCTAGAATCTCTTGAGTGACAATAGTGTTGACATTTGCACAGTCAGCTCTTTTTTCTATAATGTCATTTATGTTCTATTCGAAATTCACTTCCAGCATTATCACTTTACATTTCTCTGCTCTTTCATCTTTATTGCCCAGTTCCTCTTTTGATTATCCATTAAAAAATGTCACAATGGTTTGTCACTGGGAAACAGGAGGTAACACAACATATGCTTTGCTGTCTGAGTGAATTGAATAACAGATGTGCAGTGACCAGTTCTTTGAAAGTGACATGATTGGTCACTGATCACGATGCACATCTGTTATTTATGTAGTGATTTGTGGACCGAAGAAATGGCAGTGAAGTTTGCACTTTATGCACTTGCTCAGTTAATATATTGTGGTAACTGAAATTTGAACTGGGCTTTTAGAGGACTTATGTTAACTAAATCACGATAACTGAAATTTATGCATATCAGAACTGTGCAAAGCCAGGATTGTAGTAATTTATTTAAAACTTGTGCATTCAAGATTATCTTTCATTTCATTTTCTAACTTTCTAGTCCCTGCACAAGATTATTCCACAAGGATTTTGGTTCCTGCTTGTGGTATTTGGTTAGATGTCCTTCTAGAAATCATTGTTGGGAAATTCAAGAACAAAAAAATTCTCTGTCACAACAACCTTGCGATCTTGCTTAGTCCTTGAGTTCAATTTTGAAGACTAGCTTAATATTAAAAGTAATTAGGCCATGAAAGCACTTTAAAAG